GAGTTTCCCTGGTGTTGGCCAGAGTGGCCACCAGGGAAACCTGGGGAGGGCTAGCCTCCCACTAGTTCGAATTAAGGGGCTACACACCCCTTAATTCGAACTAGTAAGTTTGAACTAGGCTTAATCCTCGTAAAATGAGGTTTTCCTAGTTCGAACTAAGCACTCCGCTAGTTCGATTTAAATTCGAACGAGCGGAGCGCTAGTGTAGCGCCTATGAATGTTAGTTCGAAATAACGTCCGTTAGTTCGAACTAACATTGTAGTGTAGACGTACCCTCAATCTTTGTCACAAAGTCGGTCTCTCATGCACAAAGTGTCTCTCACACTCAGAACACGTTCTTTTTCTGTAGTCCTCAGCCCTTTCTGGCCAAGGCCTCCCCCTTCAGGGGGCCTTGAGCCAGCCCGTGACAACATACCAAAATTTCTGAAGAGGCCCCCTATGAATATTATTGCTTATCCTTGCTTTAGGAGGTACTTCAGCACTCCTTTTTTACACATAGTGCACTGGAATAAAAAAGGTTGGAAAAGGAAAAACTGCATCCATTTTCCCCCTCAGATGAGCAATATTGATGCTCACCTGGTAAGGGGTGAGGAGACACAGTTTTCATTAAAACAAAACTGAGATTTTTTAAAAAATTTTTTTACAGTTGATATTTGTGGGCTTCGAGCTGGAAAAGAGAGGTTATGTGGGCTACTGACAGTGAGAAAGCCCAACAAAAGAAGCAATAAAACAAATTTCTAATCTGCTCACTCACTTCAGCTATAATTGATACAATATGGCAGAATTTGACCTAATGACCACAAAACCTGCATGGCATGCTGTGCTCAATAGTCTCTGAATGAATATAAGTTCACACCTCCTCGTTGGCCTCAGTTCACTGCAGCTTGGTGACTGGGGCTTTTAAAATAGCAGTAAAGCTTAAGTAGGAACATGTGGTTAGAAAAATGACAATAAAATCACTAGTGCAGATATTATCAAAATATAATCTTACCACTTGCCCTGTGAGAGGGTCATAGAATCTCTGTAAAAGCTGAACAGAAGTGCTTTTCCCACATCCACTGCTGCCAACAAAGGCCACAGTTTGTCCTTTCTCAATTTGAAGAGATAAGTCTTGCAGGATGGGAACATCTGGGCGAGATGGGTAAGTGAAAGACACTTCATGGAACTCTAAACTTCCTCTGAATGTGGCCTGTGAGAAGAGATTGGCAACATGGTCAGGTCACAGGTTCTAAAACTTAAACAAATGAAGTCTTTAAACAGTTTCCTTAAAAATCACATAAGTTAAATATTTATTACAGACAAATTCCAAAATGTCCAGGCTATCCTCAAATGCCCTGTTTTCACCCCATGATTTTTAAACTGTCCTGAGGATGCTGTTCCAAACAACACACCACTGTTCTTCATTTCTATTCCTCCATAATCAATCTTTAATTTTAGGTCTCTGATTCCATGCTTACATTTCCAGGAAAAGTTGCTGCTCAGTCTCAGCATGGAAGACAGCGGTACCAGCTGATTCTGTCTTTGGATGTGGTAACAGCTTTGCAGGATCAAGCAATGTAAAACCAACTAAACCACAACATAGATATATGCCTATCCCCAAAGAGTTCTGTAAGACTTGTGATATTAAAAAAAACCCAAACCCCAAACAACATATGGCTCATTCACAGTCTGATTCTATCACTGTGTCTGCAGAGGGTGTTCCCATTGACATACCAAAGCAGATTGTCATCTTCAAAATACAAAAATATTTAATCTAGTGACACATGCCTTATGGCCTATGAGGGAGGGGCTCAGTGTCTCAAGAACTTTGACTATGTCATCCTTGTTCTGATTCTTGTCTTTTTTATGATACTTGTATGTGAGTATGTGTATATAACAAGCACCACCATTAGGGTCGGGGCCTTATTATATTGGGCACTGTACAAACATATCATAAAAGCCAGTTTCTGCCCACAAAGAACTTACCCTATGACACCCTGATACTGCAACTTGTTCGGCACTTGGAGGCCCGCTGCCCATTGAGGGAGGCGCAGCGTAAGGGCCTGCCTGTGTGGCACATGTTACAGGATCAGAGCCTACATAGGAGACATGACAGGAGGGGTGGATGTAGAACACAACAGAGAATGTGAAAGAAGAAAACAAGGGTGAGTATTAGGAGCACAAGGCTTTATATATTTGGTACAGTGTACAACATGGCAGGGATACAATCAGTCACTAACAGGCCACTTATTATTAGGTGTTAATATAGTTTAAGCACAGCTGTAATATAAATAACAATAGCACCAAGATGATGAATGGATAAAAGGCTTGTCATCCCACCATAGCTCAAAATAGCCACCTTGCCAGCCTCTCTTTCTTTTATTCTAAGCAGAAGCTGCAACAAGGTGAGATAATTGCTAGCAACTAGGACACATGGATACATTTAGAACCGAAATTGCACTCACCGGCTCATGTCCTTCTTGGCTGTAGCTATCAATGGCTGGTGTCCTTTCAAACAGAGCAAACAAATGTGCGGCCCCTGATTTGGCTTTGGCATATTCAGGTGCAAAGGTTAATGTCTCACCAAGTGCCATAGCACCATATGTAATTGCAGAAAAAACTCTATGGGAAGGAAAAGGTTTCAAAACACAGTAACGTCTGGTTAGATGTCAGCTTCATTCAGCGAGGCAAAAACAACAGAAGAACTAGTGCTGTGGTCACCAACCAGTAGATTGAGATCTACCGGTAGATCTCGGAGGCTCTAAGAGTAGCTCTTGAGCCCTCTCTGAACTGCGCGCCTGCGCAGTACATTTACATTAGATTTCCTCATTTGAGGAGCAGCTACTCACCGAGCAACAGCACAGGTGAGTAGCTGCGAGGAATGGTGGGATTTTTTTTAAAGTAGCAGTATAAGGATTGGGGATAGCAAATGATGGAAAAGAGGAGAATATAGAGGGCGGGGCTTCAAGGAAGGGGCAGGACGGTAGATCTTGGCTTGGTCTGTCATTTAAAAAGTGATCTGGGGTGTAAAAAGGTTGGAGACCACTGCACTAGTGTCTCAAAAGTGGTGACACGTAGCACACATTTAAGTAGTAAAAGAAATTAGTGCAAGACACTTTTTCCTCTAATAACCACCATAAACCAGATGACCATGGAAGATTGTATATTAGAAATTGGGAATTAAAAGGATGACACTGGGCTTTGCCTTGTGACCCACAAGACTTTCATGTCCCCCGTCACCTCTACATGGATCAGCAGCTGCAGTAGCCCCATAGGGATCCAAAATGGATAAGACTAATCCATAGATGTCCTAGACATTCTTCATTTCCCTCCACATCTCTCACTGGAGAGCAAGTGTGTCAGTGGCACCACCAGAACCCAAGGCAGGAAGACCAAGAGGGAAAGATGTTGCTGTGACTCAGGAACTCTTCACCTCAAGTTCTTCTCACCCTGATGGAGAGCAGCAGTGGCAAAAAGCTGAACTTGGGGGGCTTAGGAATTCTCTGACTGATTGTTCTTTTGTCGAGATGCATGACTGGAGATAATAAGACCAAGCTCTCAGAATGAAGAGAAATTAAAAGAGGAGCGTTTGGAAGTCCAAATAGCTACAAGGGATCTACTTCTTTAGGAGCTAGGAATTCTGGTAAAAAATGGGAGTTGTTAGATTCTTCACTAAAAAAAAAAAAATCAATTAATGCCCACAGGAAATGACCATGCTTTCTTAGTTGACAATGTTATTTAATAAATCGATGCAGCTATAATAAACACAAACCCAAAACAAACTAACCAAAACCAGTCAAACAAGAACGCCCATTGTGCATATAACACAGCTTGGGTTTGTTCTATGAGAGTGAGTGAGGAATGGATTCTGGAGGATGCAGGGAAAAATTATGTATAAAGGAATAGCTTGGTTAGGAATTTAGTGGAATTAAGTAATATGTCTGGCTAGGTCTACACTATTGGGTTTAATCAGAAAAAGGTACGCAAATTGCGCTCTGCAATTTGTGTAGCTTTTTCCGATTATTTTTCCAGAAGAGGCTTTTCCGCCTTTGCCAAATGGCGGAAAAGCCTCCCCTTTCGGAGGAGCCCTTATTCCTCATGAAACAAGGAATACAGGGTTCCCCGAAAGAGCGCATTTGCTCTTCTGCGAAAAAAAGCAGAAGAGCAAACGTGTTCCTTGGATGTGGTGGAGTTTTTTCAGGATACCTCTGGTATCCTGGAAAACCCCCACAGTGTAGACGTATAGGATTATATAGCAAGATTAGTCTAAATTTTAATATTGACCTATGTCCTAGGGCTGGATGAGACTTGCTTCCCTATTTGTCTGCTAGAAATGGGATAGGGAAATCTCATTTAAAAATTATGTACTTGGATGGGCTAGACCCAAGAATCTGGCCCATATTATTAAATTATCACTTTATTCTGCCCAACTGAACTGAATAATCCTATAATTTGAGTATTGCAAATTTCTTGCCTGGCTTCTTTATTCCTTTGCCTCCATTGTTTACAGCTGTCACTTGAGATAGTTAGGGTGTAAATTCACTGGACAGTAACCACATTTACCTGTGAAACATTTAGTAAAATTTTGGGTGCTATCAAATAAATATATAAAGAACTGCTTAATATTTCAAAAATACATTATCCTTTTACATTCCTCACCAAAATAAATACATAAGTATATAAATACAAAATAAAGTCCTGCATCAGCAAAAATAATGTTTAATGTAGCCATGTAAACAGCATTGATGCTTAGATTGATTTTCCCACAGGTATTTGCAAGAAGACACTATAATCCAGTGGTTTTCAAAGTTGGGTCGCGGGCCCACCTGGGTAAGCCATTGGCCCATTTAAAAAAAAATAGGGATACCTGCAGGAGGGCTTACATACGGGACTGCCCCTTTAAAAAAGGGATATCTGGTCACTCTATATATACACAGCATGCCGTAGCTATGACCAAATTGAGCTACATATAATAGATACATGTGCTTCAAGAATTTTTGCAGAGATTATATAGTCAGGTTTAAGCATTGATTTTTAAGGGCCAGTTATTCACACCTCATGTTTTATGTTATAAAAAGCAGAGGTTGTCATCATTTAATAATAAACCTACTCTGAGTGAAAGACTACAGAAACTAAAAATCATGTTTTAGCAGATAGATGAAGATTGTGATATTTTGATCTTGTTAATTGGGTTCTGGATCATAATCTTCATTTTATATTAATCATCAGATGGAAGCTAAGTTTCATATGCTCATCTTCTATACTGACAGTCAGGGCCCTGTAATGTCTCTCACATTGGGCACCAACAGCTTTTTGAAAATGAAAGACCTTTAGTTTCCAGGGTGCTTTGGGCCCAGTAACTGCAAGTTTCAACAACAAAAAGGGGGATTTTAAAACATGTGGACTGTTCATCTGGTATTTCACTTGTGTTGACTCAAACCTGAGCCATTATGTTCCACAATCAGAGTCTTAATTTAGTAGCAAAGATTACATGTACTGTAATCCTAATAAGATCTTTATTGTCCCTGACATAGTTTCAAAGACCTTGTTCAGCCATCATTTCCATGACGTGGGCTCTAATATTCTTATAAGTTAAAAAGAGAACTGCACAATACAACTCTTATATAAAGTAGGCAAACACAGTATTCCTTCATGAGGATTATCACACTCAGTTTAGGTCATGTTACAGTTAAGCAAGAGGGTGTGCATCCAATACAAAGAAAGAGAGGGAAACAGGGCAGTCAAAGAATATGTGCATGGTTTCTGACTGGGTACCAATACTTTATCTTTTTCAAGAGTTTATCTGCAAATTCTGGCTCCTGTCAGTGTACAAGTGCACCACATAATCTTTCTTGTGCTTGCTTCATCATATGTATCAAACAAGTAAATAGCAGTAAGGAAGAGGACTTGCTGAGTGAGCCATGCACAGTCCCTGAGGGACTAGCTTCTATGGCTGACTGGAGGATGACAATTGTGTTTTGCAGCAAACTTTGAGGTTTCAAATATTTTCATTCTGCATTAGAATAAAAATAAAACCCTTTCATGAAAGTGGATGTATGTCAGTCCCAGCTTGCTCCAGTCTGGGGCCATTGTGTCTCTGCATTTTAAATGTAGCAAGAGCAGAGTGGCTCATACTATATTTAAAATGCAGAGCTACAGCGGTCCTGGCTCTGTCCTGGCTTGCTCCAGTCTGGGACCAATCCCCTGCCTGTAGCTCTGCTGTTTAAATGTAGTAGGAGCTCGGCTGCCTGCACATCTGGCTCCTACAAACTGCAGAGCTGAATGGGGACTGGTCCCTGACCTGCGCAAGTTGGGACAGAGCACCTTCCCTTATTGATTAATCCTGTAGTTGTCAAATTATATTGGCTACATGATTAGTCAATTAACTGCCTTTTAACATGCTTACTCCTCAGCAAGCATTGTCCCATTTCAGGGATATAGATGCTGTCAATCCTTATAGGAGGAATAGGTGCTTTGTAGCATCACCAAACTTCACTGGGCAACTTTTAGCTGCCAGAAACCTTTAGTCTCTCAACTTTCTGAGAATTAATCGGATCCAATATTGTGAAAGCCAGTGCTGACAGAATAACTTCCATTAGCATGCTTTATTGTCTGCTTGTTCCTGTTGTTATGACTCTTTCTGGTTTCTCATTGTCGATTGCAAAACACAGCAGGCATTGCCAGGAAAATAGCCACTCTTCTAAAGCACAGCGCGGTGTCAGAATGCCAATCATTTTCAGCATAAAACCAGCCTGCCCCACTCCTGCAACTGTGGCAGGAGGTACCGTCCAGAGAGCCCTCAGCTTTCTGTGTGCCATTATGCCTGCTGAAACCTGATAGGACAACACATGGCTAGTGCTTGGAGCAGGTGGCTAATAAAAGAGGGTGTATTTTACTTTAACTTCAACTAATGTCACATTTTTGAAATAGGAGCTTCATGACATGCCAGCTGCCAGTGTCACTGCCAGCCAGGGATTTCTGTGATCAGTTTTAAACATATAAAAGGATCAGTTTGTACAAGGCAGGGTTATTGTGGAGAAAGCCACACAGGAAGACTTTCAGAGTGCCTGAAATTCATGAAGATACTAAGTATCATATAGGAATGGCCATTCCTATCAGACTAGTGGCCTGTTGATGCCACTGTCCTGTCTCCAGTAGTGGCCAGAAACAAAGGCTTTAGCAGAAAGTGAGAACCCAACCCATAAAGGATTATGTTCTCTAAAGTAAACCTGCTGTGTGAAGTTAGGTCCCTCTGGAGTTTCTCACATACAGGGGCCAACAGCCAACACAGACCTCACCCACCTTGTGTGGGGGCACAACTCTGCATCCTCGGAAGGTGCAGGGCCTCAAGTAGAAGGGGAGTGGGAGGGCGGAGGCAGCCAACCCCCAGCACTGCCCTGACTGCGGTGTGCCCTCTCCAGCCCACAGAGCTGCGGGTAATGGGGCCCTAGCGCAGCAGTGGCAGGAGTCCTGGGCCGCTTTGAATTGCTGGGCCCTGGGGTAACTGTTGCCTTTGTCCTCCCATGAGCAGGTCTGCTCCCATACATTCTTTTCCATTCCGTGTCATCTGCTCACTCTTTCACCATATTACTTAACACCCGTCCTAGTATTAACCCTCAGGGCATCCCACTGGTAACATTCTTTGCAGGTTAAAAATGGATAATTGATTCTTACTCTTAGTATTCTGCTCTTAACCAGTTTCTATCCATGACAGAACTTTACCTCTCACCTCAAGGCTTCTTCATTTCTTTAACAGCCTCTTGTGAGGGGCATTGTCAAAGGGTTCTTGAAAGCTTTAACAGAATATTCACCCTCTTGGATCCTTCAGCGTGTCTCAACAGACTATAGGTCTCACCGGGATAAAAAGCATCACTGCTATTAATGGGATTTTAAAACTTCACAACGCTTCTTTCTTATCACAGTTCTCCTTTTCATTACGATCAGGCATTTGTGAGCACAACAACCTTGTGGCAAACAGCTTCTCTTTTCTCTGAAAAGCTTGTCCACACATTTGTCACAGATTTCTCTACTACTTGCTCAGCCTCCTGGTGATGAGACCGACTTGAAAGGTAACTCTCATTATTATTGTGGTAGACAGCTATCTTCTAGATATACTGGAACAGTGTCACTAAAGACTCCTGCAGTTACTGGAGAGCTATGGCTACTTTTAATTATCTGAGCACTCCACTTGCTAAGGGGTTATTGGAGCGTTTAAGATTTGTTGATGTACCATCAGATTACAGAACATCTTTTCAGTCTAAAAGATGTGAATTGGTGTCATTTAATCAAAAGAACTCATAATGTTTTTAAAGGAAAGTTTAAAGTAGATCCAAGGGAGAGGCGCATTTGGATATATAATAAAATGTTGTGGCAAAACCCAGGCAGATTCAAATGGGACAAAATGCCTAGAATTCTGCTTTGAAGTAAATGATACCAATTCAGATAATTGCATTACTAAAGAATATGTCAGCATTTGCCACACAGAGATGCTGTCTGGTGGTTTCGACTTCTAAGTACTGGCGTCACTGTAGTTTCCCAGTATCCACAAGACAGGCCTTGTGTCTGTTGTAAAACTTTATATTTTAAAAAGTTCACATAAGGAGGAGGAGAGGATGAGGCCACTTTATATGTCTGAAAGCCCCTATGATTTTGGCAAACTGATAAAGAGACCTTCAGCTAGAGAACATTTGGGTGTCTGTGCTTTATGGTTAGAAGTGCTTGCTCCTGTGCTTCATCAGTATTTTAGGTAGGTGGGTGTGAAGAAGGTGACAGAAGCAGCATGGTTCCTCCGAGTTCTTCTTACAAGTTATGCTAATAACCAGGCTGGCAAGCAATGGCTTGTGCTTTAACCAGATTGCAACATTTTCAGATGTAAAAATAAGCAGCACAAGAGACATTAGGCCAGTCTGATTTAAACACATTGCCGACTGCAACAGCAGCACTCCTGATTTACACAAGTGACAGCAAGCATAGACTCACTTTCTATTTTGATTAGTTTTAATGGTTCAGTGATGGATCTTTGGCTAGTGAGAGGAACCCTCTCTTTCTTGTGTGCTGCACTCTGTCCAACAGCAGAGCTTTCCTTCACTGTTTCATGAGTGGCAATATTCCTCTACCACCACCTCTCTGTCACAAACAGCCATGCTGAAAACTTAACCATCTTCATTACTGTGATTTCTCTGTCTGCCTCTCCCTCTCCTGGGTGGCTGTTTTAAGTTCTTGATCATTTGCCATGCAGCTTTGTCTGATGTAGGTTGCCAATAACTACCCACATATTATTAGCATATATGATTAGGCAGAGAAAGGATAAACAAGATATGCTGCTAGACTGTGACACCATATGCAGGCAGGCTCCAAAAATGTGTCATCTACTGAATAACTTTGCTCCAAAAATTGAATGTGTCTGTGCCCCGTTTCCCAGTAAGAACTATCCACACATTTTCCTGCTCAGTACCCCAAAATGCAATGGGGATAACCAGACAGAAAGAAGAATGGCTCTGCAGCTGTGAATGGCTAATATACTGTGTATCTGTTTTCAAGTGGTTTTTATTTTATAGGCTACATCTAGACTGCAGGCTTCTTTTGGAAGAAACCTTTCTGGAAGAGAATTTTGGAAAAAACTTCTTCCGAAAGAGAGCGTCCAGGGGCGGCTGCCCCGGGCCCCGTGCTTCCCAAGGCCCCGCACATGCGCCTTGGCACCACGGCGCATGTGCTGTGTCAAAGGGGGGGCCCCACGAAATTTTGCTGCCCTGGGCCCCGCGGCACTCTCATCCACCCCTGGTTCTGACATTGGTAAACCTCTTTCTTCGAGGAAGAAGACTTTTTCCAAAAGAGCTCTTTTGGAAAAAGTCTTCTTCCTCGAAGAAAGAGGTTTACCAATGTCAGAACCAGGGGTGGATGAGAGTGCCGCGGGGCCCAGGGCAGCAAAATTTCGTGGGGCCCCCCCTTTGACACAGCACATGCGCCGTGGTGCCAAGGCACATGTGCGGGGCCTTGGGAAGCACGGGGCCCGGGGCAGCCGCCCCACTCGCCCTGCCCTAAATCCGCCATTGGTCAGAACAACCCCTCTGTTCTTTAAATTTTTTTTTTAAAGAACGCAATTGCAGTGTGGACGTAACTGAAGTTTTTTCAGAAAAATGGCTGTTTTTCTGAAAAAAAAAAAAACCTCTGTAGTGTAGACATAGCCATAAAGAAAGGAATTCACAACCCCTCCACACATTTTAAAATTTCTCAAGAAGATCCAAAACCTCACATCCAGGTGCAATAGAGTGAAGCCCTTTGCTATCTTAGGGCTCCAATGCACAAAGTGCACACTGTGAATTGGCAGAGGTGCTGGCACTAACGTGTTGGGGATGCATCCACACCTCCTGTCATGAAGTGGTTTCTATCATATACAGGCTTTACAGTTTGGTTCAATGACTCAGCACCCCCACTGCACAAATCGGTCCAGCTGCCTGTGCATTAGGCACATAGGAATATGGGAAGTACCTTCATCCTCAATGATGAAGTTTGATGGCCTTTATAGGCTCCATCTGTTGATGGCAGGGAGCAAGCTCCAATCATTCCCTGGCCCATGGCTGCTCTGTCCCCAGGTACCCCAGGTACTATAAAATGAGCTCTATGCTGTGAGAATGCAGCCCCCTTGTTGTACAGCTGAACTGTCCTGGTCTTGTGTGTCCCTGTAGCAGGATTTGCCCCAGGGGGCTGGTTTGGATATCCTTTGGATCAGCGGTAGAACCTCAATTTAATAGTAGACACGGCTCTATGTATTTGAGACACCAGAAATAGGCTACAAACAATACTTCAGTAAATAACTTTCTCAGGCCTCCATTCTGCAGATAGGACTACATGGACAGATCCTTGTGCAGAGCATCACTGATTACTCTCTGCAGGTAAATCTAGTGTTCCACTTTGTTTCTGCAAACAAACATGCGTGGGAAACATTGAAACTATTTTACATGCTGAATTTACTAAAATTAACAAAACTTGTCAAAAACATTTAAGGCTTGAGGTACAGCTATTGGTACTAAAGTGCTCCAAGGGGGCTGGCGTTGTATTTAAATAACAAATATAGAAAACAAACAAACTCACTTTCAAATCTAACACTAATTTATCTCTGACAGCATTGTGAGATGCGGAGGGTGGTATTGGGGGATTTCTTCAGGGGTCTATGTATAAAATGGCACACTTTGAATATTTATTAATTCATATTACTCACGTGAAGACGCTCTCAGGGGTCATTCTTCCAACTGTTATTAAGTACGCCCCAAATCGAAAGCTTGCCGCATAGGTGAAATACATAAAAGCTTGGCTGAATGCATAACAGGAACCGTAGATCTGAGCTTTCTTCTGAGCATTTCTGCAACATACAGCATTTACAAAATCCTGAACAAACTTTAAAAATATGAGGGACCATCTATTTATTCAGAGAGAAACTAGGCTTCTGTATGCTGTAGCTAGAACAGTTTCACTCCCAGGTGTGCTACAGAGGCTGCATAGAGTAGACACCTCAACATTTCCCTAGAGTTGAAAGCACACTCAGGCTATGTCTAAGCTGCAGGGAAAGGTCGGTAAAAGATACGCAAATTGTGAACCGCAATTTGTATATCTTTTTCTGCTTTTCTTCCGAAAGAGGCTTTTCCGACATTTGGCCCATCTACACAGGGCCAAATGTAGGAAAAAAACCCTCTTTTGGAACATCCTTTTTTCCTTGTAGAATGAGGTTTACAGGGATGTCGAAAAAATGCATCCGAATTTTTTATTTGGAAAAGCAGATACACTCCTTGGACTTGGCAGAGCTTAGGTATCCCATGAAAGCTCTGCAGTGTAGACATAACCATAGATGTCAAAAAAGCAATGTACCAGTCTTAGCCTGAATTCATATTTACAGGTGTTGGCAGGATTGGATCCTAGAACTGCAAATTTATATTGCATATTTGACTACCCCAGTCTTCCCACTCAAGCATCTTTTCAGTGAGTTTAAGAGAAATTGTGCCAAGGCACAAAAGATAGTGATGTGTTCTAATGACATTACAACAAAATTTGGTGCCTTATGGATTATCTAGATCAAGGTGCAAGCTCTTTCATTCATTCCTCAAGCTGATACCCTCCCTAACAAAAACAGCCATATGATGTAGTAATATGGCTTTTCCCCCCCTCTGCAGACTATTAATATAATGCAATATTTTAAATGGATAAAATAAAATGAAAAAGTCAAAAGGGGGCAATTACAGTGCAGGAAAGAGCAATGCATGTGGTCTCAACATGACTGATAACCACTGGGGTTGCCTGGCTTAACAGGACATGAATAATTTCTGACCTGTATGGCGTCTTCAGGTTTTCTTCATACATTTGTTCAAAAGTGCTCTCTCTAGTTAATGAAGCAACTGTTCTAATGTTCTCCACAGCTTCAGTTGCTACCTTTATTTAAAACAGGAAAAACAAAGACAGAAGGAAATGGAAAAGAAATCACCATTGATCCTTTCATTTATAAGGGTAAAATGAATGAAACAAAACAAACATCCTGGTTTTTGTTTGTATAAAAGCTTAAATCACAGAAATGCAGGTGCTTTTACTTCAATGTTCCTAACCCCAGATATATACTCATGACTTAAATGTGAAAAGTTAGGCAGAGATTTTCTGGTCTGGCTCAGGGGGTACATCACCCGAGTCTTGGAATGGTAAGCAAGAGTGAATTCTTGTTGATTTGTGTGTGTGGGTGTTGGCTTCATTATTTTTAGAACAAAATTAGACTAGAAGTACTGGTGGGGTATTAGCATAATCCCTCTAATTTTTTCCATCCATGAGTTGAATATATTTTATTATGTGCTCTGAAGCATGTATGGATGTGCACCATCAATAGAAACATATACTGATGGCTGTGGAGGCTCTGCTAATCAGCTGGACAGCATTTATATCTCTCTGGGGTGGCTGTCCAAGTGCTCAGTTTAAAGGGAACACTGACTCCCTCCCACCATATTAGGGGTGGACAACCTAAACTTGAGAAGGAGCCAGAATTGACAAATGACATTGCCAAAGAGCAACAGTTCTATGTCACCAACCATGATCATCTCCCCACCACCACTCTCAGCACATACCGCCCACTGGCAGCCCCACCGATCTGTGCCTCCTTCTCCTTTTCCTCCCAGCCACTGTGATCAGGTCTCTTCCTCCAGCTCTCACACTGGAGGGGGGGAAGCATGGGAGTGCAGGCTCAGTGGAGAGGGTAGGAAGTGGCAGGATCCTTGGGTGAAAGGGCCTAGAGCAGAGCTGGGGGTTGAACTGTGAGCACCCTCCGGCCTAGTGGGAAGTTGGCATCGGTAGCTCCAGCCCTGAATTTGGTACCTATGTAAGGAGCCACATATTAACTTCTGAAGAGCTGCATGTGGCTCTGGAGCCACAGGTTGGCCAACCCTGCACTATATCAACTGAAACAGGAAGATTTGCAATAGCACCTTGGGAATCCAACTCATGGACTGAGACACTGTTGTACTAGACACTGTGCAAATTAAAGAACACAGTGTGTATGTGTACGTGGGTGTGGGGGGGAGGGGGCGGGAGGATGAAAACTACTCACATTCTTCATTTGTCCCATTAGATTAAACACGTTACGAAGAAGCTGTGTTTTACCTTTCCTGCTCGTTGCAGTTCCTTTTTATCTCGGTTGGCAAATCCAGTCAATGCACTGGTTTCTAGCATCCCAGTCACAGCAAGCAGAGTCATCTCACACACATATATAAAAGAAATGATGACCGACAATCCCATGCTGGAGATGTTTTGTGCTATTACACCAAGCCTCAAACCTGTTGCCTGTAATCAGTGAAAACTGTCATTTGGTCATGAGTCTTCAATGAAACCCTTTTCCCTACCCAATCATGAACAGAGAAAGACAAAAAACTAAACACATGAAACCCACAAAACACCACTACTACGACAACACCTTTCAGAGAGGCCCTTCTCTCTGGCCTCTTTTCCTCTAGCAGAAATGGGCTGTGTAATCCAGTACTGTTGTTTTTTGTTTGTTTGTTTTTTTAAAACAAGCCCATTTGTTGCTTCAAATCTTCATTCCCACGCTGTGTGAGCGGCACCAAAAAACAAAACTAAACAAAACAAAGAACCCCGCCTCTCCACCATTAGTGACTCCATAGCGAGTGATTCCGACTAAATTAGAGTGGACATAGGATGTTAATTCTGATTAAAAGAATCTTGACATTAGGGAGAGAAACTTCAGGCAGTGTGTATTTTTTTAAAACAAGTTCCTGAAAAATAGACTTTTTGAAATTTAATCGGAAACTCAGAATCTCTGCTAACATTTGTATAGTGCTTTCAGGTGAAGCACTTGTCTTTCAGTTGCTCTCCCTGTCATCCATCCCTTGCTCTTTTAAGAGATAGGCTAATCTGAAACGCTTAACGTGAACTCTGCTGAACTCCAAGTTTGCCCTGTGGCCCTACAATGGGCGGAATCACAACTCTAGCTCCAAATACTCATGAACTTCAGGAAAGCTTTAATCCAAACTCAAAACAGTAGTTCCAAGCCCTCTCTATGTACTGCACAACCCTGACTTCACTCACTCTGCCTCTAGCTCACAACTCTCTAGCGTACCCTTTGTCCTGCCATTCTAAAGCCAATTCTCTCCATTCAAATATCTGTCCCCTCTCCTTGCCCTTTATAAACAGCCCTAACGTTTTGAGCTTCCTTGCTTTCTCTCCTCCCCATCTTTTCCATCTCCCCTGAACTGTGCCTTCTTCCTCTTGCTAGTATGATCCAGCACTCATGGTCACCAACCTCCTAACAGCTGAAGGCTGTACTTGTCCCCAGCTTTGTGGATAGAAGAGTGTTATCAGAAACCTGGCAGCATGGCCCATTTTAATGTAGGTGTTACATAGATACAAAAACCTCATGAGCCCACGCACATACGTACTGATTGAATTTGTGCTGCCTCTGTGGCTAATCTTGTTGTCAGAGCTCCAGTATTGTTTTTCTTGTCATCAAACCAAGAGATTTCCTATAGCACAAACAGAGAAATAAGGTTACTCTGTTCTCCCCTTTTTGGTTTAATAAAAAAATCATGTCTCCGAGTACCTCTGTTTGCACATAACCCTCCCTCCAAAGCACCAAAAATGTATTTGTGAATAGTTACATATGCAAATCATGTTACTAATCAATTTGTGCATGAAATTCCTTGATTTAGTGATATAAATATCCATTTGCAGCCAGATCATAACCTACTGGGGTTGCTTCCTTTACTTCAAATCAAGCAATGCTAATTTATATCCATTGATGATATATGATTTTTGTTCATTCAAAATTATTGCAAATATCACAGAGTTATAAAAACCCTTTGAATTATTGACCCTTTGTGTGCTTAGCAAGGCAACAGCTGAACTCTGACGATACCAAAATCTAGGCTATTTTCTTGAAGTCCTATGCTCTAAGCCTCCTCTTCTCTCGCAGACTCTGGGGCCTCCCCTATAAATCTTCTTATGCCCAGCAACCTTCTTATACTGAGTAGTCTGACAGCGAAGGAGGGCAGCAATTAGCCTTTACAGAATAGATGTCATGCTAGTTTAAGAGCTTTGGGTGGCCCTATATATCAGATAGGCTTTTAGTTACTGATCAACTGAAGATCAGTTATGGGCTACAAAAGGAAACCAGCTGACCTGTCAGCATCAGTATGGTCTCCAATTTCAAGGCTATAAGTTAATTGCAGAACTTGATTTGTATACATATAGATACACATGCACAGAGAGCGAGACAAAATTAAAAGCACGGCAGAAAACATAGTTCAGGGCTTGTAAGCCAAGAATATGCACTTGCTGGTCATTAGAAAATATGGACCTCACCATGACGCCCATTGTGTCTTTCCTCTGACTTCAGTAAGTTGAGAATCAGGCCTTTGCACAGAAAGTTAGTCTTAGGCCCTGTCCATTATACAATTAGAGACATTTTTGTAACCAGTTTGTCACATTTTTATCCTATTCTGGTTACAACACATGAAGTTAGGTTGTGTCCACACGGGATCATTTCTTCCACGGCACAAATAAATGTCAACCATATGTTTGAATCTACACCTATCATGTTGCCTCTATGGTACTGCAAAGCTGCATTTGAGCACTTTTATGTGGCTTCACAGTTGGTGACAGGTCCTGTAAAAAGACACACCTCAGACAAACACAAAGGGAAATATTTGGGTTAGTGAAGGTACTTAAGCCTCACAGAAATTATGCAAAAAATTGCTACATTCTTGGGGAGGAATCCATTTAGAGGATTGCTCCCTAGAAAAGGGTAAGCAGCGCATCCTTACCACAAGACAGAACAGGAAATGCCTGGGAGGGGAAGCAAGTCCCACAGGAACAGAGGGAGAGAGACAGGAAGAGGAGC